CCGGCTGCGGGGTTCGGGCCCGGCTGCGGGGGCCCGGGCCGGCTGCGGGGTTCGGTGCCGGCTGAGGGGTTCGGGACCGGCTGCGGGGGCCCGGGCCGGCTGCGGAGTCCGGCTGCGGTTGCGGAGGGTCGGTGCGGGATGCGGGGCCGGGCCAGTTGCGGAGGTCCAGGACGGGGCTCTGGGGCAATTACAGGGGGCCGGAGCAGTTCGGGGGGCCGGGGCAGTTTCGAAGGCCGGGTCCGGCTGCGGCGGAGCCCCGGGGCGCGGCCTCGGCGGGGAGCCCCGCTCATGCCGCAGCCGGGTGCCGCAGGGCGGAGGGCTCCGCTGCCCCCCGCTGCCTCTCGTGCAGTTTGGGGATGCTTCTGTATTCCTTAAGGCTGCGCGTGTGTGCTGCCCTTCGCAATGAAGGCTGAGCTGCAACAGCGACGTTAAAACCCGCACACCACAACCCTCCGCCGCTCTGCCCCTCCCCTTCTGCAAAAGGCAAGGCCCCCCCGCCCCCCCACTAAAACAGAATAACAACGATAAGAAAGCACACACACACGCACACACGATCGCGCCGTGGCCATGGCGATCCGCTCTGCCTTATGTAAAGGCAGAGCAGACGGCCGAGCCCGCCAGGTTACACGGCGGCTGCTGCGCAGCAGCGCCCGCCCCTCCGCCCGGTGCCGCAGAGGGCCGGCGGCGGGGGCTGCCCCGCTCCCCCCGGCCCCTGCCCGCCGCCGGCTCCTTGTTTTCCCCTCTCAGTGGGCAGAGCCCCTGGCCCTGGAGCAGGCGCCGCAGCTGCCGGCACCCCCACGACTTGTTGTTGGTGGGTCTGGTGCCGGGAGTACCCGGGAGGAGGGGCGGGGGCGGCGCACGGCGGGGCGGGAGCGGTATATGCTGCTCCTCGCCGGGGCCACGCTCCAGACCGGCCACCGCTCCGGAGCGAGCCCCGAGCCTCCCTCTGCCTGGAGTTGCAGTTCGTCTCCGATCCCCTTGGGATTTAAATCTTCTTGCATATATATCTATATATATATATATTTTTTTTTTTCCCCCCCCCTTCCTCCTCCTTCTCCTCCTCCTTTTTCTCCCGTGCAAAGTGGAGCAGGAACTGCACCAAGGCAGCCCGCGAGATCCTGCAATACTGCTCCGATTTGTCCCTGCTATTATTCCTAATTAATTATTATTTTTTACCTCGCCCCAGCCGGGGAGGGAAGCGGGACCGTTCTCGGCAAGAGAAACATTTCGCTCCGTATCAATAAAGATTTTTGATTTTTCCCCTCTCCGAGGAGGGGCCGGGTGGAGGGCAGGCACGGCGGGGGGGGCCGGCCCTCGGCGGAGAGCGCAGCCCCGCGGTCCCGGCGCGGAGCGGAGCGGCGGCCGCGGCGGGGGGAGGCGGCCCCAGCGCCGCCCGCGCGAGGGGGGCAGCCGCCCCAGACAGGTGATGGGCGTTTCGGCTGCGCTCCGGATCGACTCCTTGGGTTTCACTTTGGTCTGATCTAAGCAAATATGCAGAAGTACCGGCTGGTCTAGTCCTAAGAGCCAAGAGGAGCGAGCGAGAGCGGCAGAAGGGGAGAGCAGCCACGCTCCCGTAGCGAGGGGAACGTACAAACAGCGGCCGCGCCGTCATTAAGCCACCGCCGCCCCGGGCAGCCCCGACCCACCCTGGATGCGGAGGACCCCCGAGCCACCCCGCTGCCTTTCCCCTGAGGGATGGTACTGAATTCCTGCGCGGCAGGAGCCGGCCTGCAGCCCCTCTCCATCAGCGTTGCCTTCCCTCCGTGTCTAAAGTGCACTAGACCGCGATGAGGACCTGGGCTTGCGTTTTGCTGATAGGTTTTGGCTACCTGTCCTTTACCTTCTCCGAGGTAGGTGAGAGCGGCTTCCTGCGCTGCCGGTCCCCGGGGCAAGCCGCAGCCGGGGGTCGGGGCGAGCCGCGGTGGAGGGCATCGGGGAGGGAGCGGGCTGCCCACCTGGGCTCCCGCGGGCATCCCCGCGCCCCGGCCCCGCCGGGAGCGCTGCCCTGCCCCGGGCCCTGCGCGGCCGAGCCTGGCAGCAAGTTGCCATTTCATGCATGGCAGAAGCGAAGGGGAATGATCGTGCATTCCGCGCCCGGGCTGCTGGGTGCTCTTAAGAATTAATATGTATATAATATATATTATACGTATAATAAATATATGATAAAATATCCACGCCCCGCGGGTGCCAGCGGGCTGCGGCTGTGCGGAAGGCGAGGGTGCGCGGAGCCGGGCCGCCCCCGCGGCGCCCAGCGCTGCACACGGCGGCCGCGGGCACCGCTAGTGCCGCGGGCAGAACTTGGGTGAATCCCCCGCGCCCCAAAACGCCCCTCCCCGGTTTGCGATCTCCCCCGGAGCAGTCGGCAGCTCTCTCGCCCGCCTGCCCGCAGGGGACGGAGGGGGCGCGGAGCCGCGTCCCGGGGTTGCTACAGGTGGCCCCGGTCGGGGCGAGCGCGGTGCTCGGCGCTGCACAGCGGCTGCAACTTTTCCCGGGACCCGGTCTGCTTGGCACTGGGAGCCGCGACGTGGGCGCCGGTGGGATGGCGGCGCCCCGTGGGATGCGGTTCTCCTCCTCCTCCTGCCCGGGTCGGGGGAGCCCGGGCCCGCGGGGCACTTGCCGTCCGCCCGGGCCAACTTCAGCAGCCGCTGCCCGGGGCGGGCTCCAGCCGCCGAGCGGGCTCGGGGCTCGGCGCTGCCGGGCACACGCTGCCAGGCGGGGCCGTGCGGAGCTGCCGCCCCGCCGAGCCGTGGCGCAGTCGGGCGGGCGGCGCGCAGCCCCCGCGGGCGCGCAGGCGAGGGCGGCGGGAGCGCTCCGGCGCCCCGCGGAGCGCAGGGGGGGGATGTGCGCGTGGGTTTTCCCCCTGCTTCATCCCCGCATGTCCCGCAAACACCCCGCACCCTCCCCGGCAAGCCCAGAGGCGCGGCGCGCCGTACGCCCGGCGCCGCGGGCGGGACTGCGCGGTGACCCGCGGTGTGTGTGTCTTTGAAGGAGGCCGAGATCCCGCAGGAGCTCATCGAGCGGCTGGCGCACAGCGAGATCCACAGCATCCGCGACTTGCAGCGCCTCCTGGAGATTGACTCCGTAGGTAAATTAGTCCCGTCCTCCTTCCTTCCGCGCCGTCGGCCGCCGCCGCCCCGGGGGGAGGCCCCGCACGGGCCGCGCTCCCCGCACGCCGCTCCGGGACACCCGTGCGGGAACCGGCCCCGGGCGCCCGGCGGGCCCGGGATGCGCGTCACACGGAGGCGGCGGCCAAGGGGCCGATCGGGAATTAAAACTTCGTGGGGTTCAGGGTGGAGAGGCACCTTGTGACCCCCCGTGTTTTCAGAGCTCTCTCCGTCTCGCAGCGGAGAAGAATTGCCATAAGGTTTGTTGTTGGTCTTGCATTGCTGTGTTATCTTTAAACTACTGTCCTAGAGGTATTTAAAATATTTGAAACAATATTTATGAATGAAGTAATGTCTCTTCAAGCGCTGGGCTTTATTAAAAGGAAAATAAACCCTGCACGCTGATTTTAAACAGGAACCTGCATATGAAGCTTACCCTCAAAAATACACTTTTTTTTCAAAAGAAAATAGTGCAGGGTTATGTTCTGCATCATTAGGCATGCAAATAGGTGTAGTGAGAACGTGCAGTTTAACAGATCGTTGCAGCAGTAAATCAGATCTAGAAGCATGGTATTGCTGGGTTCCTTATCCTTTGGTTTCACTTGATGCACTTTGTTCCTGGTGATTTCTTCCCCCAGTTGAGGGAGAATAAACCCGGCACCTTTGATATGCTCAAGGGAAGCCTGCATCTTGCTGAAGCACAAACATGGAGAAAAATGAATGAGTTCTTGCTTGCATTGGTAGTGGGCCATCTCCCTTTAAACCATATGCTGTGTATTTTTGTAAAGTCTGTGCCAGGTTCAATCACCTTCATTCAGAGTTGCGGGATCCTTCTAGAGTTTAACTCACTGCTTTTTGTACAGTGCTCTATTAATGAGCAGAAATGCACTAGGAATGTATTTTACAGTCATAGCTTTCAATTTCCATGTGATTAGGGAGCAAATGTTTTCCCATTACACTGAAAATGGGAGTATTTCTGTCTTGCACAACACTTTACCATAGAGGCTAATTACTAATTACCAGATTGGCACTGGTTTAATATTTTTGGAGAGCAGTGCTTCATCACTGTTGTTTATCACCACAATTAAAGAAACTTTCACAACAGGGAAGGGGTATGCAGTTCATATTTCCCCACTGAAGGCTTTTTTGGACCAGACAAGTGCACTACTGCTAAAATATTTTTCCCAGTGAACTTGGTGGAGTTGGCTGCTGTTGCAGAAGGGCTGAGGATCTGAGCGCTAGCATTTTAAAACAGCGCATGCTGCTCCTGCCTTTGAGTCAGGGTTCTGTAGCTACCAGAATACATTATTTTTTCAAATACCTCAGTGTAACAAGCACATGCTTCATTTTTAAATACCACTTAGAAGCAGAGCAAAAGTTCACATGGCTCCATTGCAAGAGAATCGGGCATACAAGTGGGGCAACGGCAGGAGGTGAATAAATGGGTAGATGTAGCAGAGAAATTTATTCCAGAAAATAATTATTTACCTCGTGGAGAATATTAACTGGAGGATGCAAGACCAAAAATGGAAAAGGTCAGCCACAAGTTTACCCATTTCATTTTGCTGTTTTTTTGCAATTTGTCAGTTTAGAAACCATTAGAGAAACAAGAGACATAAATATTTTACTATCTCACTGTGAAACAGTAATTCCTTAAGACATGAACTCAAACAATATTAAAAAATAAAACCAAAATATTCCGCCTTTCACCCGCTTCTTGCTTATGTGAGTGCTGCTTTTGCCTGTGTGCTAAGCTGTGCTCTGGGCTACTCAGGCATGGCTGGGTTTTCACGGAGTAACCCGTCTTTACTACCCACATTGCTTTTCCTGGGCACAGTCCTGCAGGCTTTACTGTCATGAGTAATTCTTACTAAAGGCTTATCAGAGTGACTAATCGAGTATTGAAATTGCCGTCCTTTCCTCAGTAAACAGGATCGGGCTGTTTACTATATTTAGAATTAGCAAATCAAATGTTTTCTCGTTGTCCCTGGTAAGATGATATTTCTGAAATGTGTTTCCTTAGGGCTGCGATTGCCTTTAGGGAACAGCCAGTTCAGTGAGGGCTGGTACAGTAGGTATATTTCCCTTTTATAGCGTGTACTCATTTTCAGCTGAGGCTCAGAACAAAATCACTCCAGTGACTATTCTCTCCCCTGTTTTAGTGCATGGTATTGCCAGTCCTTCTGCATGTGAGTAGCCCTGTTTAAACTCAGTGGGTGGACTTGAGAATTAAGAATGATCTTGTAGGCTAAGAGTTTGCAGGATCAGGCATGCATGAAGAAAATGTCTGATATTCCTGAGTAACAAGGCGGAATCTGTGGAAAATGAAGGAAGAACAGTCATTTTCTCTCCTGCAATGCAAAACATATATTTTTAATTGGAAAAGTAAGTTTTGTAAGTCAGAGTGGGCAGGTTTTTCTTCTATTCTGACAGATTTGGTCTCTATATTGTAGCGCAGAGATGACTGATAACCCCCTTCATAAAATTAGAAACCACACCCCCAGACCATCTGGCATATTACTTAAAGAAAAACACTACCCAACATGGAGCTTGTCATTGTATTCAAAAAAGAAAATCCAGGCCAGTTTGTCAGAGCCCAGTGCCGCATGTCCGACTCAGAGGGTAAAGGCAGCGTGGAAATTCTATCAGGAAATAGGGTCTTGCATTAATTCGCTGCAATTGGGATCCAGAGGCAGTGACAGAATCGCCTTGGCATGACGGAGAGCAGAGTCTGACCCTGTTTAAAGGAGAAAGCATGCACAGTCCCAGGAAGTAGGCAGCTCTAGTGTGCAGAGTACAGTTTTACTACGAGCAGACTAAATCCCCAAAACGGGGGCACTTCCTCTGCTCTGCTTGTGGAGTTCTCTCCGGCTCAGCAGCGTGGTTTTCATCTTCACCTCTCCCATCTGTCCTGTGGGAGGTAGAGTTCATTTCATCACCTATTATGTTTGCCTCCCGCTGGGAACAGATTTTTCCCCAAGTCATCTGCCTGCATGGGGAAAGGCAGGGCTGAGTGTGCCTCTTTGCACGGGTTAAGGGCATCCACCAGGGTCACCTTAGGCCATGTGAATTTAACGGCCTGTGATTAAGAACTAGCAGAGCAGCTTTTGTTAAGTGGAGAAACGTTTTAAATTAACTGTATACTTCCACGGAAAAAGTGTTAGGCTGCTGGAGAGCTCAGTCTTTTGGAAAATGTGCTGTTGACTTTGTGGGTTTTGGTGTGGTGCTCAATGGAGGATATTGCAGTGCAATGTTTTGGCTTCTCTTGCACCTCTCACACATCATGGGGGGCATCTTCCATGTGTGGCCTGTGTTTCTCCTGAGACAGATGAGGGAATACTCCTCTTCCTTTACAGTTGGTTGATCACACCTAGGTAAAGGAAAAAAAAAGCCAACAACCTAAACAAAACAGGATCTTGCAAGCTGCTACTTATATTTTCTTTAACAGATCAAAGTTGAAAACGTAATGACATCTCTTTCTGCAGTTGGATGTCAGAAGGGCAAATTTTGCATCAGCCAAAAAGAAGATCAAAAAAATAGACTGATGTTGCCGTGGGCTTTCTGGCTCTAGGACTGATTTGTAAGACAGACCATTTTAGTTTATTGTACCTTACACTGAATTCCTGAAAAAAAAAAGATTGTAAGAATTTCCTAAACTGCTGCTGCTGTTGGTACTAGAAGTCTTGGATCCGTACTTTCTGGGTGCACATCAAAGTGAAATCTAGAAGGGTTTGCATTAAGACTGCATGTGCTGGGGGTTGTACCTCACATAAAATAGTTTGCTAAGAAGATGGAAATGCAGAAGTATAAATTGATAAATAGAAAATAGCAGTAAACTTAGGATGCTTTCCACATGCTTCTTGAGTGAGAAGAGTAATCATGTATTGGCAGAACGTCACGGGAACTCTGTGATTTATATTCCATGACCCAGTGGAAAATTGCCAATCTGACAAAAAAGAACAATTTCAGCTACACTAATGGATTGACCAAGGCTAATTGCTAGAGTTTTTATGCCCATCATTGATATGTTGTCAGTACAGAAAAGATTACAGAGAAATTTCTTGATCGGCTGCCATGAAAACATTTTTTTATTATTAAAACATTAAAAGAAAGCTGCATTAATCTGGCTCTGTGCAGCACCCTCCATCTTCACTTGGTGACGAGCAGTGTTCGAGTTCTAAACTAAGAACCACCCAATTCTAGGCTTTCTACTCTAAGCCTCATTTTGTGAGGTGCTAAGCACCCATAAACTCACATTGCCTTTGCTAAAAGCTTATCCTCACCCTGCAACTAAATCAGTACATTGGGGGAAAAGCTGATACAAATTAAGCATCACCCTTCCTTAAAGTCAAACCAGAGAGTGCTCTTTGTAGCATCGTGGTTTTAATGAAATGAAAGGAAGACTTCTGGCCATGTATTCAGAGCCAAGTGTGAGTTTCAAAGCTGACTTGGTGATTTTTCACTCCTGCTTAGGCAAGACTCCCGTTGACTTAAACATGGCTTGAAGTGCAGTGATTTTCCCATTGACTTCACTGGGAAATGGAATTCCTTCCAAATGCCTGTGGGAATCAGGGGGGACACTTAAATGCCTTTAGCATTGTAGTATCTTCTGGCTCCAGCCATGCCCCATGATTCTGTTTATTAAACCAAACTTGGATGATGTGTTGATGGAAATAATACAATTTGTGTTAGATAACGCTTTGAGGTTTGACTGGAGCTTGTTCTGCTGAGCTAGCTGTGTAGATCCCTTTTTGTAACCCTCACAGAGAGACATGAACTTAGGAACTGCTATACATGCTTAAGATATGTGGTGAGGCAGTGAGGTACACTACAAGCCAGAGGCCTTCTTCACCTTAGAAATAATTTTATAAGCAGCACATCTCCTGGAGGTGTCATTTTGCTTTATAAAGGTGGTGATGGAAAATGGCTAATTGCAGCTGAGTCGAGCAGTTCTGTGGAAGCACATGACTTAACATATTGGTTATTAACTAGCTGATCATACCAGTCCTTTGGCTCCTACCAGCTTCTCCAAAGGAGGCAGCGAGGGATCCTTGATGCTGGGAGAGAGCTGTGCCAGCATTGCTGAGTGTGGGATTAGGAGCCATGGCCCAGCCCTGCTGTAGCGCTGGCAGCCCTGCTGGCTTCCCTTTCCAGCCTGATGCCTGTGCCCACCAAGCAGTTGGGATTAGAGGCATTACTTTTGTGTTTAATCTCCTTTTAAACACTGTTTGCTTGTGCACAGAGATGCTTCTTGCTCCGAGCCTAGCTTGGATCTCAGGCTGAGCAGAATTCACGCTGCTTTCTTTTGAGTATCACTTCATTGCCTTGAATTGAGGGAGAGGTTGTGACAACTTGGAGCTGCCAAAAAGGAGGTCAGTTTTAAGGTGTTGGGTGGCTGAGTGCTAGGAAACAGAAGAGGGCTGGAGACACATCAGAACGGATCCTCATTTTGCATAACACCATTTGGGATCAGGTGGATGGCCTGGTGCCATTGGAATGGGATGTGGGAGACCTGGCTCCACTCCCCAGCTCAGTTGCAAACTTCCTGTGGGATCTCTGGCAAGCCATTTTATTTATACCACTGATGAGTTTTCTGGAATATGGGGTGCAATAAAAGCAGAAATAAAACCCTTTAGTCATTGCTGTGTTACATGACAGGACTGGGACTGCAAATAAGGTCCAATACCAGCTAATTAGTCAGGTTCCAAAATTTCCCATCGAAATCTATGGGAAACAAGTACCATTCATAGGAACTAGGAGCCAGTTTATTTGGTCAAATTGAGACTGTGGATTTCACAACAACTAATTTCATACATGGATCTGTTCAGCTGCTAAGGAGAATAGGCAGAACCAATGGGTGATCCTGGCACCACCTCTTGGACCTCCGATTTTGTCTTCTCTTAGCTACTTACAACAGTATTTTCCAAGAAGTAATGATAAACCCTGAGATGCAGAACTCTTTCTAAGGTGCTGAAGATCCTGCTGTCTTCATGTCTCACCTGGCTGTACAGGTGATTTCACAAGCTGCATGTTCCTTAGGGCACAATTTCTTGGAGGGAGGAGAAAAGGAGTTGGTTGTTTTGTGGAGCAGAGCCTTATGATGTATGTTACTAATAAAGCTGAGATTAAAACAAGTTCCAGAGGCAGACAGCTGTGTGTACAGAACAAACTGGAAGCAGGGAGTGTGACAGTGCAGAAGATGGGTGTGTAGGGTGTTGGTAGCTTTCAGAGAGGGTAATTGAGTACTGTGTAATACCTTTTTTTAATGTTTTTTTTAATACCCTGCATTTTTTTAGAGCACATCACAGTTTCTTAGGAGCCAGCAGTGAAACCTTGAAACTCTGCAGTGGTGTTCCAGAGGACACTCCAAGAAGAAGAGTGCTAAACCCTTTAGTTTGGGTGTCCTGGGGTCTGTGTGCAGCTCTGTTTGGATCTTCCTTCCTGATCCCCCATTTGCAGACTGCGCTTGTGGTTTTCAGACCCCACGGCATGGGACACGACCTGAACTGCTTCACTTAACAAACCCAAATAGTTGGAGCAGTTATTTTGTTGTTTTTTATGATAAATGAAATGCCAAGTTTTCCATCTTTGCTTTTTCTCATGGCCCTTTAACCCATGTGGTAGGCTTATTTAGGGAACAAGACAAGCCTGGATGCAGTCCCAGAGTTTGCAGTAGCTTCAGATGCCCCTCCAAAGGTTAGGATACTTCACAGGGGATTTGTTCTGCAACAGAGAGGCTAAAAGGAAACCCATGCTAGTTACTTTTTGCTTTTGATTCTGTCCTTGTACTGCCCTGAAAACCAAGCAACAGAAAATTTACAGAGGCAGCATTGTTGCTGTTGGGTCTAATACCATATTTTCTACTGTTGCCTCATACCAGAACTTCAAAATGTTTGTAAGAAACGTTTCACATGCAGGATTATTGTTCCTATTTCTACACCTTTCCAGTAAGAAAAGCTGTATTACGCCTTTCACATAAAAATGAAAATGTTTTACTTTAGGTATGGTTCTTGGCCACAGTGTGTGCACTGTTTCTGGGGATTTTCAGTAAAGTGGATATTGGAATTAAATTGTGCATGCTTATACATGGCATTCAATGTCTGTGTCTTTCTTCCCTGCCTATGCCCTTGCAATTGCATTAATAGGGGTTACATTGGACTGATTGTAGCAGGATTTGGTCTTGTGCCTATGAGCAGCACAGGTTTGTACCTGTGGAACAGCACTGTAGCGACACTGGTGCATATAACATACCTGAGGTTTAACATTTTGTTTCCCGTTCTAGGATATGATGATGTTTCAGAAACAAACCTGAGGTCTTACAGTGTTCATTCTGCTAAACATGTGCAAGAGAACCGTCCTGTGCCCATTCGCAGAAAAAGAAGCATTGGTAAGAAAAAAGCTATTTGTACTTTGGGAGTGAAAGCAGAGGGGGTGCTTTTGGTCAGCCAAGCAGGACATTTCACTGGAAAAATGTGACATGCACAAAGGAAAAAAAGGACCATTTCTAGCTTCTGCCTTTCTTTTTGCACAAAACGAGCCGTTGCCTGAGAAGCTGTCTTCTGGAGGATGTCCATAGGAGACAGACATGCACAAATTCTTTACATTCACTTTCTTGTTGCAGCATGTTGGAAAGCTAGACCTCGGTTAGAAAATGCTGTGATATTCAATGTATAATTCATAGTGTGGGGAACAACTACAGCAGTGTGCTTTAAAAAACATCAACAGTTGGTAGAGTTTTCAGTACAGAAGCTCCACAAAAGGAAACAGCTTGACTCTTTATTCACAAGAAAAATACAGTTTATCCCAAAAATTAAAAGCCATTGATGGAAACGCTGGGGCATTGATTTCCATCACTGTGTGGGGTACCAGGCATGTTTACAGGGGATTTTATCCTTATTAATAACAATGGTGATCCAACAAAGGCCAAATATAAATTTAAAGAATGGATGTGCGGATAGGATTTACGTGCAGTGCTTGTTCATCTGATTAAGTGTGAGTGCTCCACCATTCCATGGGACTGTGGAAAACATCCATGATGTTATCCGTGGTGGGTAATTCAGTGTGTTTGTACTTGGAGCTGTGGTGGTAGGCAGAGATAGCCCAGCTTGCTGTCAGCAGGGATTTGCAGTGTGATTTGGCAGGCGCCCGGCACATTGGCTGCCTGGGGAGAGCAGCGGTTCTGGAGCAGCCGGTGACGTTGGCATCTCACCCTGCAAGGTGCTGAATGCCTCCCCACCAGAGGCACTGGGAACTGGGTGTGCTCAATAACTTGTAGGAGTTGTTGCCAGCTATCTTGCAGTATTGCATCTGTTAATTTTCTTGAGTTCGTGGCACTGGGGGCTGCGAGTAAGGATTTTCACTCTGTTTAGTCTATTGAAATGCATCTCTTTCAAAACTAAGCCTAGATTTCCATGTTGCAGGCACAGGCTAGGCCTGAGCTTCTTGTATCTAAGAACTAAGTGAAGAAGTGCAGGCAGTGTTCCAGTTCCCTGACACATCTAACCCAAAGCTATCACAAGCTTCCACTGTAAGGAAAGAAAAATAAAAATCCCAGCTGTCTTTGGAGAACTTATCAGCAAACAACTTGTCCCTGCAATTGCTATTTTTTTCTGGACTGTTTTGAAATATCAGCTTGACTTCTTAAGCAGTCCCTAGGCTGATGATGATACATGGTTTGGATCATGGCAGCATCACACAGTAGTACAGGGCTACTCTTTATAATCCTCCACAAGGTCACCTTACCTGAGCCTGCCGGGATATTGGTTTAGCTGCAGGTTTTTTGGTCGTGCTGCTCTGGTGGTTTTGCATCATTCAAGAAATAAAAAAATTAAATAAAACCATCCATGTATAAGGCTTTGATAACTACAGAAAAAATGGCAGCTGCCTTTTGGAATGGTGGATGCACCAGACTCCCTGATGTGGGGATGTTAAAGTTCTGGAAGTGAAAACCCAAGTTTTGAATGTTTCAAGCTGGTGCAGGTTGTTTCCCAGCTGTGTAAATTTGGTATGATACAGATATCCTCAGTTTAACTTCTGAGGCGGTGTTTGCCAGGTGTTGCATGTTTGTGTGATGGTATTTGTGTGCAGTGATGACCCCAGTGCTGGAAAGCAGCAGCTGCTGTTGCACAGTCACTCTGAGGCTGCACTCAGGGGTCGTTGAATGCAGAGGAGCTGTCACTTCCAGAGCCAGGAATGTCTTATCTCATGGTACGTGCTCCAAGCTGTGTCGGGAGCCAGGCCACTGGAAGCCCTCACTTTAGGGCTGGGCTTTGGGAGCGAGTCAAGCTTGTCCCCAGGGTAGCACCGCAGCCTGGCTGTAAGCACACAGCGCTCAGCACTGCCTGGCCAGCGACCAGTGGGGACTGGGAGCGCTGGTCCCACCTGCAGCTCACACATGTGGGGGCTCTGGGATGGGAGCAGCTGCTCACCTGGGGCTGTGACTCTCCTGTGCCCGCAGAGGAGGCCATCCCGGCGGTGTGCAAGACGCGGACGGTGATCTACGAGATCCCTCGGAGCCAGATCGACCCCACCTCGGCCAACTTCCTGATATGGCCGCCCTGCGTGGAGGTGAAGCGCTGCACCGGCTGCTGCAACACCAGCAGCGTCAAGTGCCAGCCCTCCCGGATACACCACAGGAGTGTCAAGGTGAGCAGGGGGCTGCAGGGCCCAAGCTGGTCCTCTTCAGCCTGGAAACCCCACTTAGCCCTGTGCCTGGTGACCCAAATCTATCCATCCATCCTTGGATAGAACACCCCTCTCCATTCTGAGCGAGCAGAAGGTCTTTTCAAGTTATGTGGTCGTTGGAGAATCTTGGGTTTGGATTTGGTTTTCACAGGATTCCCTTTAGGTTTTCTCTCTTTTTTTTTTTTTTTTTCCTTTTTTTTTTTTGCAAGGAAAATAAAGTTGATTGTGCCTTTCCCATGATCTCGCACAGTGCAGATCTTAAAGTTAAGAAGATAAAATGACTCAAGGGGCATTGGACTTAAAAAAATAAATAAATCACAGTATGGAATGCTGTTTTCTTAATTAAATATTATGCAGCCTAAATTGGGCTTTTATATTTGACAACATAACACTTTTGATCTGAAAAAATGTGTTTCAAATTATCTTACCCCAGGGATAGAAGACTCAACAGCTTCATGCTGTATTTGCTCATTAGACAAAATCCCTATTGCAACTTTCCAGTAAATATTACGTGAAATATTTATGTTCATTTGGCTTCACTGTGTTCTAATTTTTATCAGTATTTAAACAAGTACTGTTGATCTACATCTGTGTGTTGGAGATTAGACTTACACTTAGCATTCATATTGTGAAGACTGAGCTCTTGTTACCCTGAATTTCTTAAGACCAGAATTAAAATAACCCCCACCACATTCTTCAATGTAAAATTGCTCAGCACAACACACTAATTGCTGCACTTAGAGTGGATTTCTTGAGAAAACTGCTGTTCCCTTAGTGCTGTACATCCTAGAACAAAAATAAGGCACCTAACATTGTTTTTCATACACTGTTTTTCATACATTCAGACATGTGTCTGGGCAGAATTTCTTTTTCTTTTCTTTTTATGAGCATCTAAGAAGAGTTTTTTGCATCCAGATAAGCTGGAGAAACATGAGATTCCCTCAGTGTTCTCAAAAATAATCATACTTTACACTTGCTTGCTGCCTTGCCTTCATGGGATACACTTCGCAGAAACAATTAAAAATGAGGTAAAAATTTGGGCCAATAATTACTTGAGGGCTGAGAACAAACTGGGGAGATTGAAGGACTGCAATTGTAAACCTTTCTGAATAGGAGCTAAACAGCTAAGTGCCTCAGGGTTGTGATATTTAGTGCTGTTGCCTTTGGGTTTGATTGATGCAGTTGATTTTGTGTATCAATGAAAGTGTACAGAGCAGCTGGATGTGCTCAGCACAGAGCTGAGACGTGTGTGATGAGCTTGCTGTTGGTACCTGTGTGTGACATTGCAACCTTGTGCTTCATCCCTGAGGGATGGGGGAGATGACAGATGAGAGAGAGGGTCTTGGCTGTCCCCCTGCTGCTGGGACACCGAGTGTTCCCAAAGAGCTGCAAATCCTGGCAGCAGCTTTGCAGGATGTCACTGCTGGGGCTGCTTCCTTAGCACACCACCACGTTGAAGGAATTTTAGTCTCTCAGCCCGTTGTAGTGCTTTTAGATTTGCATTCATTTTAGTGGGGCACAAGCTAAAAGTAGGCTCAGCTGAGCAGCTGCTTTTCGTGGCTGTGTAAATATATTGCCACCAGCAATATCAATATACGTCAGCCAGCTTTGGAGGACATTTTTTTTTTTTTCCAAGCTCCAAGACTGCTCCAAACAGTCATTAAGTAGCAGGGGAAAAAAGGACAAGAGGTCAAGCAGGAACAGGATGTTCATTGTAAAGGTTGTAGGCTGACCCCACTGTCACACCAGAACTCTTAGAACAGAATCCATATTTATGCCCTCCAAAGTCAGATCCCCTTGTAGCTTTGATGTAATTGATGGTTTTCTGAGCCTTTTGCCAATCCTAAGTTTAGAGCTGAATGTCTGCTCATGCCATTAAGTAGCTGGCTCAGAGCGAGGGTCCCTGGAAAGGTGGGAGCGGTTTTGGAGCGCCTTCTCAGCTGCTCTGCAGTGCAGTTGGAAAGCCGGCTTGTGTTTTCCCTTGATGTCAGACTGCATAAAAGCTCTCTTTTGATGGAACATTGAAAAGGCTTTCCCCGCTTCCTCCTCATTGACAAGGTAGTGAGATCATAGCTGGCCCATTCACACTAGAAAAATGTTCATCCAGAAAGGTCAGCAAATGGGTTTGCATCATCCAACAGGCAAAGCAAAGGGTGTTTTCTTTGTCTCACTGGGGGCCACTGTAGTCAAGGTTAAGAGACGCTGGGGCAATGTGGGAGGGGCAGTGGAGGTGTTTGTGTTGGGGCATTTCGTTCCTGGGACATGATTCAAAGGGTGGAGGGTTCAGGGATGTCCTTTCTTCATCTTCACTGAGCTCTCATCAGTGAAATACCGCTCATGTGGAGCTGAAGCTGTAGGGAGGCTGCAAGCCACAGGGGTTGGTGGGACAGCTTCCCTGAAATGGTTCTTGGGAGGTTTCCCTTTCATGGGGTGGGTTTTATTAGTGAAAGGTGGGTTTGCCTGCACGGTGGCGGTGAGCCCATGAGAGCACAGCCCTCCTGGCCCTACAGACATCTCTGTTCAGCAAACTGCACCTGCACAGCCCTGCAGAACTCGGACTGAAATGAAGAGGCTGCTTGGGAGCTGCTCTTTGATGGGAAGGAAAGGATTCTAGTTTTCCCCTTACAGAGCAGTGGTGACAAGGATGGGGAAGTTAGGGGTGTCTGTTACAGAGAGATTTTCTCCTTTGTGTGCAAAAGTAACATCTGCAGATCCTGTTGCTTCTGTCCAGTGAGTTCAAGTATTTACCAAGGACCAGACTGTAACTTATTTGAAGGGTTCTGAACAAGAGTCTTCCCAAGAGGCTTTTTGAGCATGGTGTCCTTCATGGGTTTAGTCACAGAAGCAGAAAATAATTAATATTAGGGAGCAAATCCTGCCTATACTACTCCTCTTGAATAGCCAAGCTGAACAATATGATTGTTTTCAGCAATGCTCACGTGCAGATTAAGAAACAAGAACTAAGTGACTCCATCTACCTCAGCTTTGCCTCAGGTTGGCCTTGAGCAGAAGCCCTGACATCTTCAGCCATTTCTGCATGTTCAGTGTTGAGCTGATCTTAACCTGTATATTCTTAGAGTACATTAATAAGAGGGTGAGGTGCAAGTGAAAAGGAGCTGGACAGGAGGGAATCCTCAGCTGTCACTGGGGAGTTGTTCAGAGGTTGGAAGAAAAATGCTGGAGTACAGGATGAGCTGTTCAGAAGAGCTACTCAGCCTCAGAGCAGGTTAAAAAGCCCTTGCAGAACACATGGGATGTTTAGGTGAAACAGCTGTATGTCATGTTTGCAGGTTTAGGAACCTTTTTCTTCTGTGACTGTTCCTGCCACTGGGGTAAGCAGCACTCTGCTTTGGGCTGTGGCTCAGCTGAGATGGCAGCCAGCACTCGGTGGGACTGGCAGGCAGGACCAGGTATCAGAGGTCAGCGTGGCAGTGGGAGAAACAAAGGAAACCCCGACAGAGGTGAAGGAGGAAAAGCAGTGAGGTGCCCTTGGAGCGTGGGGAGCCCTGTCAGCCTGGCTGAGGGCAGGGTCTGGCTGCTCTGCTCAGGAACACAGAGACCCCACACAGCCATTCCTGTCCCCCTGTCCCTGCAGCAGTGACTTTCCAAGCCCTGCAGGATCCTGGTGCTCCCCAGTGCTTTAGTCCCTGTTGACTCACATCTTCCCAGACAGGTTTTCCCTCCCTTGTATCAGCCTGCAGTTATTTTAATATGGAAGCAATAGATGATTCCAAGAAGTGCCCTCATTCAGTTGCTTTTTGGGCTTGTTTCCATCCAGTATTTAGGTATCAGCCACATGAGTTCTGCTGTTATGAGGAACTTTCTGTGCTGACACTTCCCTTTTGAGCTTTTGCCCATGATAAATTTTAGCTTTGTACTGGAGGTGTTTTGGACATTTCTGCTTACAGTCTTGTTTTATTTTTATTTTTTTCCCCTGCTATTGATCCCTGATTTAATCTCTCCTGGAGGGTCTCTAAAAAAATAATGTTTTCATTATGCCACATATTTTTATCAGATTTTTTTTTTTTTTTTATTTAGCCACCACACTGTATTGCAGGTTGTAGACCTAGAATCTACACTGATGCAAGTATGGTGCCACTGATTATATACCATTTGAGAAGCTTATCAGTTATTTCACTGTCTTGCTCTCAAAGAGCTTTTATATAGTGGTATTTTCTGGATCTGGAGGGTTTGAGGATTTTAATTTTTGTTACATTAGAAACAAGTAAAAGGAGCTTGTTGATTTGTTGAGGACTGACCACCTCAAAGTTCTGTGTAATACACTTGAAAAACTGTACAATATAATCACCAAGGAGAAAAATACAAAGAAGAAAAAACCATTTGTACACAAGGCCAAATCCCATGCTGCTGGCACAGCTATCCCTGTTTATACCCACTGAAAATGTGACCTGCAGCCTTCATCGCTGCAGATCAGCATTGTGTGTGGCAGCAGGTGTTAACAGGTGGCACAGACACAGCAGCCTATCTTGTTTGTGCTGCTTCACTTCCAGTATTTGCAACATCTACAAAACGACATTCCTTTAACTTGTGTAGCGTGAACTAGGGCAGTGGAACATGTGCTGGATTGTATTTTAACTACAATACTAAAAGCCAGCTTTAAATTGCTGCATAAGTTCATTATGATCCTGTACAAAGTATTACTGTTTCTGGTTTTTTAACTGTTGTTTAATACCAAATAGCCACAGGAACTGCATCTTTCCGTTTGTAAAACCAGGCGAAACAAGGACAGGCTTTTAAAAGCTTGATTACAGTTTATTTTTGTTGCATGTAATTTTCAATGAGACTGGTTTATTCTAACAGCAGTAATAAGCATGGCAGATCTGAGAGCTGTTTCGTGATTGCTGGGTCCCTTTCTTTGTCTCTGATGATGGAGGTGTCTTAATTACTGTTTGTTTTCATAAATTTTAAGGATTAGTCATCCTTTGATGCCAGATGACTCAGTTGTACCATACATTTTCAAATCTCCGTGTTCAAAGGCTTGATGGAGTTGGGTTCTGATAGGAAATTTTGAAACATACTGCTTTGACCCATAGTCTTTCAGATAAAGTGTTCTGGTATGTCATGGCCAGCTCTTAATATGTTTACATGAAGATCTGACAGTTTCAGAAGATACCTTTTAATGTGGATACTTCAGTTATTGCATCTGTCTCTGTAACTTTTGTTGGCTGTGTGAAATGAAAATCATCTCCAGATCCTGTTGACACGAGGGGTGGTAACTAAAACATGGATCTGAACTCCTTGCTCTGTGAAAGCTCAGACTGATCTCCCACTGGCTTTAGAAAGGCCAGGATTTTGCTCTAGCTCCTCTCACTGGCATTCAGAGGCCCTTGATAGTTGTGACCCCAGAGCCAGAAGAGTGTTTCTGGGAACTGGGAATGGAATGGGTTTTTCCAGCCACCATACTTATTTTGTGTCACTGTCCTTCCAGTTTTGAAAGGGCAAGGGAATGATTTTTGCAGTGTGAAGACTGATTTGAAGCATTGAATCCCCACCAAACACACAGGGAAACCGTGGCTGGCAGTGTCATTGTGGATGCATTATTTGGTAGTGATTGGAGCTTTTGGTCGGACCAGCCTTTTATGGCTCTGTCAAGTAACTTCTGTAGAACACAACCAGCCTCCCCTGCCCTTCTGCTCCCTCATCTCTCTTATTTATACTGCATCCCTGTGATTTGTAGTCTTCTTGTTTGCTGGGACAGGCACACTGCAGTGCCCTTCTGCAGATGAGTAGGTCTGGGAAGCCATGATTTAATTGCAGTGGTTTCCATTCCAACCAGATGATCACCACCTATTCTGCAGTGTTGAACACCACTGAGAACTAAACACTGGACCCCTCATGAACTCTCTAGCACTCTCCTTGCCCACATTAGGCCATATTCCCTTGCATGGCCCTGACCATCGTGCCCACTACAGCCCAAGTCAGTGCCCAGCATCCCAGAACATCAATGCTCTGCCCTCTCTGCCATTCCTCCTCTTCTGGCTGCCAACCTGTGTGTCAGGATGTCCTCATGTTCAGTAACCCCCCACCCCAACATCCTTCTGTTCTGCCTTGGTTTCCCTTCAGATCTGCGTGTAGCAAGAGCTGCTCCAGCATGATCCTTCCTCCAACCTCAACTTGCCCTCCAGACTTTTTTATTTTAAGGATGCTGTAAGCGGAGCAGTGCAGTTGTGAGCAGTTGGGAGGACTGTTGGGGAGAAATACTCTGTCTGGCAGCTTTCCACAATAAAGCCAAAGGCTGGACCCATTGTAGGAGTGGTAGTTCCCTTGGACCTAAAAACTGTGCTTGGGAGCTCCTGTGACCAAGCCCCAGGGAATTGCAGGATTGAGTAGGAATGAAAATGCTTTCTGAGGTGATGTTCAGATCCTGGTTGTGTAGGTTTGAGCCCATCACATTCAGAGGGCTCTGGAGACACCAATTTGTAAATAATAAAATGTGTTACAAATCAGTCTAATGCCATCACTGTCAACCTTTAAGAACACCTGCAGAAGATTGTGCTAAAAGTGGAAGTTTACAAGAACAACTACTGATTTGAATCTGTATAGAAGTTTATTGTGATACATGTGGAAACTGAGTTGCTTGAAACATCAAACCAAAATGAATGGGAAATTGTTTTATTTCTTGGGGGAAAATAGTTTCAAACTACTGAACTTGAATAAACAAATAGCCTGTGCAATAAACAGTTAAACGATGCACAATTAAGATAAAAGATTATTAGTATGCTAACATTTTATATGGGTTTGGCTACATTAAAAATAGAGGTATATAGTTATCTGTCTTCAGTTCTGAACTGTAACCATGTTGATGTGTCTCAGTACATACCTCATCGTATTTTATAGGTGGCAAAAGTGGAGTATGTTAGAAAAAAGCCAAAATTAAAAGAAGTTCTGGTGAGATTAGAAGAGCATATGGAATGCACCTGTACATCATCAAATACTAATTCAGATTATAGAGAAGAAGAAACTGGTATGTTTTCCTTTTATTTTTGCATTAATGCTGATTTCATATGGACCTTATTTTTATATTAGTAAAGAACGTAAAGCAGACATTGCTTACAGTGAACTGAGTGGAGAAGCTCCCAACTACTCTGTGTTGAAGATGCCAAATGAGGGCCAGTTTGTGCTGTATAAGGAGTTTGGATTTCAAATTCAAAGTGTATCACTTCTCATTAGGCTGGCCTTTAAATAAATGTAAATTCCCAGTAGTGTTCAGGCTTCACTAAGTTAAAGGTTGTCATGGTGCAGCTCATGGGTGAACTCTGTTGCCTAATTTCTTTAGACTTTGTGGGGACAGGGCAGGCACCGAGATTTACTTGACCTTGGGGAAAATAGGAATGAAATTAATGTAAATCACTTGGGAATAATTTTAGGATTCAAGGCTAAGGAGTGAGTTTGGAAACAACATTGCTCATTCCTGTTGTTTCCTTATGTATGTATACTCAAGAATTTTTCAGTTGTTGCATTAAATCTAAATTTGCCTTGTCAAAACAACCTTTGAGTTATAATGGGGAAAGATCTATGGGGAAAAATTACTTTCAATCTGGCTTTCATAAAATCATTCTGAATTAATCTAAAATCATTGGCTCTGATCTGCTTACTACAGTGCAATCAATGCAGAGCTCAACACACTTATTCAGGAAACCCACAATGGTAAAAAGGATATTTCCCTTTCTCCTGGTACTGGTTGAAGGCATCCTCAAAAGTTTGTTTTGCACCTCTGCAGGGAATTTAAGGGTGCAGTAGAACCAGCCCAAAATTAAAGAGTCAGTGAAGAGCAGGTAAACATTCCTCCTGAAAGCTGCCCAAAGGTGATAGATTTGTAGGTGAGGAAGGGTTTTCTGTACTGGCTCCATCCAGCATGGAGACATAAACCTGGTCCAAGCAAATGTAAACTTCAGTTGCTATGGACAGAGAAGAAGAATTAGAATTTCTATAAAAGCCGAGTTAGACCTCTGCTGAAATTTTATTGGACATCAATTTATAATCTGAGCTGAGTGTTTAGCTGAAACTAGGTGAAGTTATTAGACAAAACCACATATAAAGTGGCTATTTTTAATGTGGGTATGGTTTGATACATTGTCTGTGTCTCCCATTTGAAAAAAAGTTTCATTAGATCAATTTCAGTGTTCCAAATTGTCTTTAATTGCCGTAGGCTAAGCAGCTATGATTTAAGATCAAAATTTTTGGTTTTGGTATGTGTAAAAAATGGGGCAGAATTATAATGGAAAAATACATATTTCTAGGATTTAATTACTGATAGGAACAAAACTTGCACCCAGCAAGTGGATGGTGAGCTGAAAATAGCTCAACTCCAGAGCTGAAGCAAATGTTGAGTACTGCATGGTAACAGTAATTATAGATGGATCCTGGGAATGACGTGTGCAATGCCAGCTTCGTTTATTATTTCTTTGCTTTTGTGTAATTACTTTGTAAACTCAATGTCAAATCAGACGTTATAAAGTTATTACTTTAATGCAAAGGATAATGAGATTTCTTTGAAATGTAAACGGTTTGAGTATTTATGACTTCAGTGTTACACGAAATGTATTACCTTAGGGCTTTTCACCAGCCCTGCCCTTATGTTAACAGGAAGGCCTAGGGAATCAGGTAAAAAACGGAAACGAAAAAAGTTAAAACCAACATAAAACCTACTGGAACTATTTGATATTCAGGTAGGACCTCTATGCTGAACACCCTAATAGCACAAGTACTGGAAAACTTAATCAAATATCATCACTTCAACTTAATCACTGTTCAAAATCTTGACACTTGCTACCTCAAGGCTGCAAAGAGATTAGATTTGATTGGCTTTGATAATTCTACCTGCTGGTATTTTCCCTTTAAGCTCCACATCACCATCAGCATCTTACATTCTTGAGCTACTTCCTTTTCTTGCCTTTTTTGTTTCTTTTTTATTGGAGGGTGCTAATACTTCAGCTTCTGAAATCTCAAGTTCCATTGCCTCTGCTTGTGTTTCATTATTATTATTGATTTCTGAGGTCAAAGCATCACGTGATAATGCATGAATGAATTGCCAGGTTACAAATAGTTGTGTTCCCAGTCCTTGGCTGTGAAACATTGAGTGTACATACAGTAAATACTATTTGTGTGACCATCAAACCCATGTTCTGGCATGAATTGGGGTTGATTGCACATGTACCTGACACAATCTGATGATCTGCTTACTTGACCAGAAAAATGCCAAGAAAAACTTTTTTTTTTTTTTTTTTTTTTGGGTTTGCGAGTGCTTTGTTTTTTTCACCCAAAAA